ACCCTTTATCTTGTTCCATAGTGATGGAGAAAGAATTTTTCATCAGACTATTTTTGGGGAGAGGGGTACCAGGAATCGAACTCAGGGGCACTGAACCACCCAGCCACATCTCCAGCCCTATTTTGTATTTTATTTAGAAAAAGGGTCTCACTGAGTTGCTTAGCACCTTGCTTTTGCTGAGGCTGGCTTTGAACTCGAAATCCTCCTATCTTAGCTTCCTGGGCCGTTGGGATTACAGGCCTGCCTGCGCCATTGTGCCCTGTTAGATTTTATATTTGATATTAAAATAAGTCTCATTTAAAAATATTCATTTTACACATTCTCAGTATTTTAATGGATAAAGTTGTTAATAATAAAAACTCAAGAGTCAAGGGATTTTTTTGTTGTTGTTTACTTAATACTCATCTACTTTTGTGTTTCAGGTTCTCAAACCTCTTTTGCTTATACAAGTACTATTCCTTTATGATGTTATAGTTGGCTTTAAATTAGTAGATTAAAATTACACATAGGGAAGTTTAAATGTGTTCAGAATTTCCATGAAAGCTAAAACATTTCAAATACTTGAGAAATAACTTTCAAAAACTATGATATTCTGGGGCTGCAGTCATGGCTCAGTGGTAGAGTACTTGCCTAGCAAGCATGAGGCACTGGGTTCAATCCCCAGCACCACATTAAAAACAAAAATGAACAAAAACTATAATGTTCTGTAACATTTTTGTCACTCTAATATCATAAATTTCAGAGTTTCATGACTTCAGTTTTCATGTCAATTTAATTCACTTCTCTATTCCTAACTCATCTTTTGAAGACTACTTCTGAATTTCCACCTATAAGGTGACTTTGATTGTACAGATATACACTTTGGCATCTACAACTTACTAAAGGAAAATAATTTTGAAAACTTCCTTTTAAAATAACATAATAACTTTCTATGCTTAATCCAGACTACAAATAAAAATTTAAAGGCTTTGTTCATATTGGATAGATTAATTCTGCTATCCTAAATTAGTTCAATTAAACTTAGAGTTTAAAGAAAATTTTAAAAAATACACTCATTTATCTGGGCACATTGACAGATACCTGTAATGCCAAAGACTTGGCATTAGACTTTGCATTAGACTAAGGCATGAGGATATAAATTCGAGGCCATCCTCAACAACTTGAGACCCTGTCTCAAGATTTAAAATAAAAATAACTGAGGATATAGGTAAGGAGTAAAGCATTCCTGAGTTCCCAGTACTGCAAAAATCAATCAATCTCTTGTTTACTTTGAAAATAAGCTGAGATTTCATTTAGTGGACACCTATAAAGTATTCTGAAATGCTGAGTGAAAAGATATAAAAGATGAACATCTAATTGAATGTCTTACAATTCCATCTTCATATTTTTTAACTTGTTAATTAAAATAATAGAACACATATAGCTCCAAATCTATGCTGAGTCACTAAATTTTTACTAATTTTTTTCTTTAAATAAAAAAGTTATCCATTGCTTTGCAATTTTTATTGCATAAAATATTTCAAAATTGTTTTAACCATGGAGCTATAGGAAGATCTATGCAAACATTTCTGTAAGTTACATAGCCCTCAGTCTGAATTGTTTAAGTCTTTGAATTCTTTCATAAATGTTAACTCTTCCCAAACAAAAGACACTAATTTCTGTTTTACCATATTTTTGCCTGCTGAAATTTCATAAGTTATATTAACACAAAACTGGGCTTAACTGTACTTTCATTTAGTTCAGTGGTGGTATATCAAAAGTTAATCAAATAAGGACAAAGTTAGCTTTTTTTCTGAATGTCAAACATGTAGTTTGTTGGTCTAAAAATATTTCAAAAGGATAAAGAATAGTAGGCTTCATGAATATGTGTAGAATATTTCAAAAGAGATGAGTACAATATGTAGAAGATCTAGGTAAGCTGCACATAATCATGGATGAATGCATTTATTGTTTGTAACTTTCTAGTGTGAATACTCTATCACACAACCAACAGTTCTCTAGCAGAACTTCAAGTACTGTTAAATCTTTTAAAAGACTTATTAATTGGTTTTATTTAAAACATCAGAGTGAGTGCAGTACTTTAGATTTAAAAATTGCCAAATGAAGTAATTTTAATACTATTGTTCCCTTCTGGAAAATGATAGAATAGCCAAAAGAAATCTATTTGAAATATTATAATGTCTTTATAACTTCAAAATATGTGCCAATCAGCAATATAAACATTTTTTTGTTGGACTGAAGATTGCATCCTTTGTGATACTTTATGTTTTCCTTTTGCCTGTTAATGGATTATCAATAAAAAGTTTTTAAATGAAAGTTATTCCTTTCCATAATGTATGTGATCTTTTGTTAAATAAATTATAGCCATCTTGACAAATGTCTTTACAGAAAATACTTAAAAGTCACAACACAGATTCAAAGATCCATCACAGTCACTTACCCCTACCTTTTCTATCCGGCCTGAATGTTTGTGTTGAAAGAGCTCATTTTTAATTCGAACAAACCAGCTAGAAAGGTATATAGTTTTCTGTAGTTCTCTAGTTCCTTCAGGTTATACCATCATCTGCTCAGAATAAATGTAGTAATATATTCAGGGTTTTCTCATCAACAAATAATCTTGAAAATCGAAATGAAAATGACTCCAAAAAGTTAAAGAGATTCAACTATTTTAGGAAGGATGTTGCCTGATTCCCTCTAGGATTTCTCTAATATTCCCCAGCCTTGAGGCTAAAGGTGTGTGTGTGTGTGTGTGTGTGTGTGTGTGTGTGTGTGT